TTGTTTCTTAAAAAACAAAACAAATAAAATTTTATTAACAATAATAGCATAAACCAAAACATTTTTTTTACATTTCCTTCTCCTACTTACCATGTATCTTAATAAAGTTTTTAAAATTGTTCTAACCAATCAAAACATAACTTTATACAAATTCTATAGAAAAATCATTAAAAACATATCCCCTCTATTAAAAGAGAAATACCAAATTTATCTACTATTTAGAAGTCATGTTGGACTGTGTCATTAATTATTTAATTTAACATATTTGATTGTTACATTAACAAGTCAAATATATATTATTTTCAAAATATCTTAATAATTAATAGGATATTAATAATAAATAAATTTAAATATAACAAAGTCTGTTAAAAATCTAATAAGATCTTACAAAAAAAATTAAATATTTTTTATAAAATAAATATTTCTTTATTTCATTATTAGATATAATTATAATTAAAACTAATAAATCATATATTTAAAAATTTTAGTTATATATTTATAAAATGAAAAATATACCGCACACATATGCGGGTGAAACTCTAGTACACTTTTTAAAGCGCGGATCAAACTACAGAAAAAAATCAATTAAAAACATATTCGCGTTAATTTATAACTTCCCTTTTTATTTCTTATATTTTAGGAATTCATAACCCTCATTTACACTAACCATAATTCACAAATACATTATATATATATATATATGTATGAATGAAAATTAAGTATAAATTAGAATTCACGAAATAATGTAGAATAATGACAGTTAATTTAATATTTGTTAAGAACTATTATCTATATTAATAATTTTATGTTAAAAGGTAATTCCTCTAAAAATAATAAAGTATAAATAGTACTTTTAAGATTTAACCATTTCAAGACTCATTAATTATTTATTAATAATTATTAGTTATATTAGTTTAATATTTATCAAATTAAACCATTAAAATAAACTCAAGTTGAAATAACAAATGATTAAATCAGCAAAATTATAATGCAGGTATGAATTATCTCAAATTCTTTAAGAAAATAGTTCCATTTAAATTTTTAAAAATAACTCATATAAAATAAATTCAAAAAAAATATAGAAAAAAATTTGAAACACGAAAAATAAATTTTATTAATAAAGAAAGGGTTAAAAAAGGTTTGAAATAAGTTTAATATCGGGATAAATAAACAAAATTATTTAGAGTCTTCAAAAATTAGTCCTACTTAAAATAAAAAAATCAAGTCATATAAATAAAATTAAGATAAATATCATAAAAATTAAAAAATATAATTTATTTAAAATCATAATTTTCATTACGTAAAATATTTTTTTCAAGAAAAAATATTAACTCTGCATATTCCAAGCGCGATCACAACTATACTGCCTTTAAAACAAAATAGGTATATATAATAAAAAAATTACCATAAATGACACAGTATAAAATGAGTTAAACTATATGATAAAAATAATAGAAGTATATGGATCGAGTACATAAAGGGCATATAGGCAATTGGAAATCAGATGATTCATAATTTTGAAAGATCTTTCGATCACGATTAAAGTTTTAGTTGTTTTTATAATTATGCTGTGTTTCACATCAATACCTTGGATTCTTTTGGATCTTGCCAAATCCAAGTGAAATTAATAGTGATAAGCTAGTGATGTGAGGTGTCTAAAAGAAAATATAGACACACGGGCATAGGACATCTATAGTTATACTGATTACAGATCCACTGCAAAAGGTTTGAATAAAGCCTAATAAAAACAAATCCCCCTATATATTAAAAGAGAAGTCACTTTAATGAATTTTGCTTACGTGTCATTCATAGGTGCAATGTAGAATTAGTTCTCTTAATTTGATTGGTTGTTGGCATTTGAATTTTATTTATTTAAGTTTTTTAAAAGGAAACTAATCCTAGAATTACCTAATCTAATATATATTACCAAACAAACAATTAATCATCTTAAATACATAGGATTAATAGAATTTGTTTATAGAAACAATTAAATATCACATATTCCATTATAAAAATTTAGAATATACATATAAATTCATATTTTATTATAGAAATAAGTATATAAATGATTTTAAATTTTTTTCTATTAATAGTGGATAAAAAATCATACATTACAGAAAACTAATAATATTTTTAACACTCACTCACTATATATATATATTCTTAAAATATGTGCAATGAATGCAAAACAGTCAAATGTAAAAATTCTATTCATATAATTCATATAGCTTTAAGTATAATAAAATTGGCATGTTTATTTTTGATAAGAAAAAAAGAAAGGAGACATAAATAAAAACATGAGGGAATAATAATAAAACCTTTTGTTGTATTCTTCGTTATTTTGTATTTGTACATACATATTTTTTATTTGTATACCAAAATATTTTTTACGTATTAATATAATTGTAAACTAATTATTTTTAGGTGTTTATACAACATAAGGAAAAATTGAGCACGGAAGATAAATATAAATGATAAGTTATAAAATGGTTAATGTTGAAGATGCAAAATATAACGCAAATTAATTTTAAAATAAATTATTTTAAAATAATGATAATTATTTTTTGCGGTGTAATAAACTTTAAAAATATATGATAACAAAATTATAACAAAATTTATACAACTTGTTATTTTGATATATTAAAACTGTTGAATCTCATGTTTATATTAATCTATGTCTAAAGTAATGACATCACATCATTTAAGAATTAAGATATTTTATGTTATATAATTATTTAATCAAATTTACTTTTTTGAAATACAGATATTTAGATTTATTTAAAATATGTATGTAATGAAGTAATTAAAGAAAAAAAAATTAATAATAAAATATTTATTTTTTGAATGAAAATCTTGGTCAAAGGAATCAATGTTTAATAAGATAGTGTGAATGTGAAGATTGGAGAGAATTTGACAATGAATTTATTTGGTTAGTCAATTGTGATTTTATATTAAATACTAAATAAAAAAATATGTAAGAAAGGGAGAAAGAGAAGGAGATATGGTGATGATAAGGATTAGAGAGTCGGTTATGATCATAATAAAGATGAAAAAGAATATAAGTGAGAGACTTAATATAAGTGAGATAGATTCTGAAATCATTTATTAATACTATGTCAAAGTGTTTAGAAGATTTAACAAAATCTGGTGAAAATTTTGCAACAAAAAGAGATAGAAAGAGTTTTAAATTTAAATCTTGAGGATCATATTAAGGACGAGAGTAACATAATGAATATAGATGATTGTGAGAGAGTGAATATAAGTTTGAGAGATTTTGAAATTATTTGATCAACTAAGAGAGAGAGAGAAAAAAAAGAGAGCGAGGGAGGTGTAAAAAGACATACAAAAATAATACAAAGAGAGATACATAAGAAACAAAACGAATGTGTGAAAAATACAAGGAGAAACGAAATGAGTAAAATAGAAAAATATATTAAAAAGCAGAGTATCTATGTAAAAGAGAAAGAAAATTACAATATATTTATACATTTATATTATTTTTTATTCATACAATGTATAGATTATATTTAATGTCCGTACAGGCGTGCGGACCGTCCACCTAGTTAATAGATTATAATTCCATGAAACATTAACTTCCGAGAGGCGGATTTAGGACACTAACGATTAACACTATTTTCTCAAAAAAAAAACTATTAACACTAATATTGATCAGCGAGATATGTATCATGCATGCCCTTTTTCAAAAAAAAAAAAAGATATGTATCATGCAGACCACGGACTATTCAAGTGATTATAAAGTACGCTCGTGAAATATGTAAATTCCAAATCGAATAATTTTATAAATTCTGTTGTGGTAAAAATTAGATGACTTAAATATATATAATAAGATATATAAGTTATATTAATAGTTGAGATACAATTACAGTTTTTTTTTTTTTGAAAAAGGAGATACAATTACAGTTGATTATCTAGTTCTATAATAGTAAAGCTAGTTCTAATTATGGTTGGTTATCTAGTTATCAAGCTTAGTTAACAGAGTTATAAATTCTATTATAGTTCCATGAAACATAAACCTCTAAGAGGCGATGTGGTTTCTTTTCTCTTTGAATGCCAGAGAGTTTAAAGTCTGAGCTCGTACTCCTTTTAGACCCAAAACCACGTTATGTAATATTAGTTTCTTTTCCATGAAATTATTTGTGTTTAAAGAGTCATAAGTTTAAATTTCATTAGGAAGAATTTAAATTTTTATCCAAGATTCCTTCAAATCTGGATGTTTTTCTCACAAACGCTATTTACACTAATATGAACCACTTATATTATAGAGTAAAGCCAGAAATAAAAGATCATCAATTTATTTAGATTTTATGATATATTTGGAAGGTAAAGAATAATAAAATCTTCAACAATATCATTGTAGATCCCAATAATACATTGAGGCTTGACAGAGATTGAATCTCTTTTATGGAAAGAAATCCAAGATTCAATGACACAAACTATTCCACCTCCACAAACGTCTGGGGAGGTCACTCTACCACAATTCTCTGGTCGGTGGTGTTTTACTGATGAATATTGGAAAGATCATGATAAGTTTACGGGTCAGGGATGGTCTAGTATTTTTTTTTGGATTTTAGGGAACTAATTGGAGCAAGGAATACAAGAAAAATTATCTCCCCTCTGCATGCGGAGGTAAAGGCTCTCAGCTGGACAAAGGAAAATATGAGGAACTTGCGTCAATTTCATGTCATGTTTGCGACAGATTGCCTTCAAGTGTGAAGATGATTTCTGCACCTGAGGAATGATCAGCCTTTGCAATTTATTTGGACTCTATAAAACTTTTACGTGAAAATTTCACTCTTTTAGAGATCATTCATATCCCAAGAACGCTCAATACCAAGACCGACAAACTAGCACATAGTCCTAAGAAACAGTCGTCTTATGTTGTTCATATGGATGTTGAGTTACTAGTTTGATTCGCAGAGTCTACGGATGGTTTACACTTCATCATACAAGCTGTACAAGCCTACGAATAGGCAGTTATTAAAAAAAAAAGTTATCCGGTTATCTCAGCGTTGATGAAAAAATCGGATTACTCAAAACAATTGTTGTTTCAATTATCATTCACCCCAAACTAGAAACCAAACAAAAAATACAATGTGATTCAACCATATACACACGATAAAACCGTATCATAATATACATTCACAAAATGATTAACAAATACTTGGAATGAAGAATTTGGATTGTTCTGAAAAATCCATCAAAAACTCCTCCACTAACTCCTCCAGCAACTTCAACTCTAATTCTTCTCCCATGTAATCCATCTCCAACCTCAAACTCTCCGGTGAACCAATCTCCGCCACTTCCATCCTCACCACTCTATTCACTGCCAAACTACTCAAGTCTCCATCTTCATCCCACCACCGATCTTCCACTCTCCCCTTACCCTTTAAACATTCTTTCATCCTGTTTACCACATAATCCCCCAATGTCTTGCCAGTGAGAATCTTGGGACTACGAGTTCCGAGATAGCTCGGTGTTAGCTCCAAAAGCAGTGTGTTGACGAGGTCGAACACAAGCTTCTTCACGTTGGTTCCAAGTCTTTGCTGTTCTGCTGAGTTTGCATAGCTGTCTCTCAGAGATGGGTCTAATGGGCTTTCTACGGAATACCATTTAGACAAAAGATTGTCTAGTATGGACAATGACTCTGACTCTTCATCTAGACCGGCTGCTGATAAGAGTGTGTTGATGAGGAGACACAAGACTTCTTCCTCGTCCCTTGTGGAAATAGTAGAGCGTTTTGATGAGTAGCACCGAGATACTGTTGAGTCGTCAAATGAGAAATTCCGACCAATGGATGGAGATTTGCCTAATAAGTTGGATCTCATGGACATCATCATCTCCGGTTCTGTTTTTCCAAGATTTTCCGGTTTAATAAGGAAACTGATATGTAACACGGTTGAAAAAAGAGAGTGAAACTTTAGATGAAAGCTTACCAAGAGAAGAGGATGATCTATTCAAAACAGAGGAATTAAAAAACATTCCATCTTCTTCATCAAAAGAAGTTTCCAAGACTGAAACTGGACTCGGCTCATCACGCCACTCGCTGGAGTTTCCAAAAGTTGCTGACCTTGCAACTGATAAGCCTATCTGTTGAGATACAAAAGTCATATCTGTTTAAAAGAATACACACCATATGAATGTGATTTAATCAGCAAATGTGGTTTATATGATGACAATACCTCACGAGAGACCATTCTTCTGGTAGACACTGATGCATCACATTCATCGTTACACCGAGAATCCAAGCTTTCTGAATTTTCCTCATAAGATCTCTCCTTACTTGCTTTCTTGTTCCTTGAGAAAAGAAACTTTGAGACTCTACCTTTCAGAGACCATTTCAAGCTTTTTGACTTAGTCAACTCTTCAGGAACTTTGGACCTGCCCTTGTTGGTATCAATGGCTCTGTGACCAAGACTTGTGGATGATTCAGGGAGAGATTTTGATCTCACAAGGCTATTAAATGGCTTTGAACTGCCTTCCTCTCTACTGGAATCACCAGCTAAGCAAGAGGGATACACTCTAACATCATGTTCTTCATTACAATCATTTGCTTCTTCTGAAAGTGCAAGCATCTCACCTAGAGAAATATAAGTGCCTTTCTTCTGAATAACTTCAGCCTCCTCCTGCACATTCTCATTCGGTGCTGCCATCAATGCCCATCTTTCTGAAAGCCGTTTCTTAGCCTCTCTGCAGACAGATGATGACTCTGGAGAACCTGAGGCTATGCTAAAAGGCGAAGAAGAAAAAAGGCTATCACACTTATTGATATATTCCCATGAATGCCTAGAAACCGGTGATATGATCTCAGAATCTGCGTAGTAACTATCATCACCTACATAGCCGTTGGAGAAGACAGAAGAATGTGAAGTTTCTTCCTTGAGCATCTGCCTCTTCACTCTCCTAGCCACATCTTTTATCTCCTCAAAGTCATCCACAGGTAAACCTCTTGGAGAGGTTGGACATGAAGAAGCCTTTGTGACATGGCCATTAGGTTTCAGTACAACTATTCTAGTTGTTTGCTTTGTCGGATATTCTTCTTCACCATTCCATTTAAACATATGAAGACCTTTTTCACTCTTAGTTCCTTCTCTCACATCATCAACGGTTTTTGAAGGCTTCAAAATAGTGATCCTCTTAGACTTCTCTGGAGTTGGTGGCGCAGTAGACTGGAAAGTATGGAGATGATGAGAGAAGAAGCTATTCGACTCCTGCAAAAACTCGAGGAACAACTCCTTGTTTGAACTCAAAACTTCCATAGCTTCTTGAAACTCTTTGGAATCTCGAAGCTTATCGTCTGTAACTAAACGTTTAGCCTCTAAGAACTTCTCACGGACAATGTCCATCTTCTTCTTGCTTAAACCCTCTGCATTTGGTTTCTCCCAAATCTCATAGACATCTCTACACTCCCCTTGACTTAACGACCTGTTTAGCCGAGGCTTTGAGCTATTACTTCTTCTAACAACTGCATCCGGTTGTGTCTGAGGGAAAGAATCAAGACCCATTAACTTGGCAACCAAGTTTGTGGAACCGAGATTAAGTTCCATTTCTTTAGACATCTCCTCAGCTAGTAGCATCTTCATCGGAGTTCCATTGACATTAACGGTCCTCACATCCTGCACTCGCAATTCAACAGAAGATGAATACAATCTCTTATTATAAAAAAAAAAGAAAAAAACAGAAAGCAATAGTGTTTACAGGTGTAAAATAAACTCACAACTTTATCTTCTATCTGATCAAACTGTTTACTCTTTATAAACCCTGTGAAAACCATCACCATCATTCCTTAAAAGACTATAACTTATAAAGAAGAAGAAAACACAGAGAGTTAAAAGAGAAAGAAGAAGCCTAACCATCATTAAAGTAGGGTTTATCAGTGAGCAGTTTCTTCCCACTACCAGCTGTTCCGAAATCGAATAGGTTAACCATACGACCTAAACATCCTGGAACCTGATGAACGTTTCTTCTTCTATTCCCATTCATTTTCAACTGCTGAAACATCACAATTAAGTTAAAAAATGCCAAGCAAAACAAAGAAGAACCAAAGACTAGTCAAGTACACAAGACAAACCAATAATTTAGAGGAGAAAACTTCGGATTCATGAAACAATACCTCCTTTGCCAACTTTTTTGTTTTTGTTTTAAAATGATTTGGACTTTGAAAGAGATTACTAAGGGAAACAAATAATTTTTTGGGGGAATAAAGAAGGAAATCTAGAGAATTAAGAGCAAACCATTTACTAGCCGAACAATCGCATAGAGATAACTTCAAATAACGATTACAAACGCAAACGCACCTACTGCGTTACCGACACCAATAAGGTAAAGTGAACAGAGTTTTTTATTAAAAAAGGCGGAATCACACGGGAGAGAAGAGAACGTTAAAAATGGGAAAGAGATGAACAAAAGTAAAAAGGCTAAATTTCAGGAAAAAGGTATTATGCTTCCTGAACGACGGCGTTTTAACGGACAAAGACAGTACATTACAGAGCGTCAAAGACAAAGACCTGTCTGCCGGAATTTGCATTTTCCGGTAAAAATCCCGTCGGAGAGTACAAGCTTTCTCGCCGGAATTTCGATTTTGGCGGAAAAAGATGGGAAGCTTATCTCCGCTGTTTAGGACAGACTTTGGAGTCGAGAAGATTGTGGCGACAACACCAACGCGAAACGCGTAGAATAAATGCGATTAAATAAGAAGGCGACAGGTACGGAAGTGGATGATATAAAACGAGAGTGATGTGTTGTCCATGGATAATGGAGCAGGTTACGACTTTTGAGTTTGGGACCAACTGAACCCAGTTTGGTTTCTTACTGTATTTAGTAAGACGCGTTTCCTTTTATTTATTTACAAGTAAAAAATCACTCTTATTACAAAGGTTTTTGCTCGTGTTTCAAAAAAAAAAAAAGGAAGGTTTTTGCTCCTTCGACAAAGATTGTCACTTATATTTTTACACATATTAAAAAATAGTTAAAATAATTTTATGTTTTAATTAATTACACATATAAAACCAATAATATTTAATATAGATACAGTTATTTATACGTTACTGTATCAGATGAGTTTTTAACAACATTTCTACCACCTGTTACATTTTATGTGATTCAAATATTCCGTACTGTAAAAGATATTTTGTTTGGGAATTCGACCAAAAAAAACACGAACTTTGCACGAATTGCCAAAAGAAATCTGTACATATGGGCTGGCCAAAAAAACACTATACTTTTGTTGACTTTTTAATTTTATTAAAAAACTTTTGATTGACTGACCAATTTGACACACCGTTAACAAAGTTAACGGATTTTTTTGACGACGTTAAATTGGGCGTTATGTTGAAACGACGTCGTTTTATGTGTTTTTGCTTTTAAAAACAAAATGTGAAAACGTGCTCCAAGGGATTCGAACTTGTGAACTTAGGGATAATGGTAGGGGCTTTACCGCTGGGCTACTAGACTTTACAGTACATTAACGAACAAAGTTGTTTTTAACATTCTCTCATCCGAGTTAAATGAAAATAAAAAGGCGTAGACACCTAGATTCAAACCAGTGTTAATAGGGTCAAATGACATGGTACTTTACCATTGGGATAGAATTACTTCAATGTATTCACTAACATATTTAGTTTTATTGAGTACTTATTGAATAAAAAAATCTCTAAAAGCCTTAAAAATACCTTTAAATTACAAAAAAAAATGAAAAATAAAGATTTTTTTTTATAAAATTAATTTTGAAATTAAAATTTAAAATAAAATTTCATTTTTCTTTAAAAAAATCAAAAATCTTCAAAAATTTTCATTTAAAATGAAAATGGTTAAAATAGTTATTGTACCCATTATGAGTGCGATTTTAATTTTAAGCTGATAATTGTAACTTTTATTTGCTTGCTTTTTCTTTGAATTTTTAAATTTTTTGGATTTGTTTAAATTTTTCGATTTTTTCATTTTTAGTATAAAAATAAAATTAAACTTTCTTGAAAATTTTGGAAGATTTTTAATTGTTTAAAAATAAAAAAATGAAATTTTGTTTTTAATTTTAATTTCAAAATTAATTTTATAAAATAATCTTTCTTTTTCAATTTTTTTTTGTAATTTTAAAGGTATTTTTAAGTTTATTAGAGATATTTTATATTCAATTAGTACTCAATAAAACAAAATATGTTAGTGAATACAATGAAAGTAACACTAGCCCAGTGGCAAAATACCATGTCATTTGACTTAGCCAGCCTGGGTTCAAAACTAGGGGTCTACGTTTTTTATTTTCAAATCATGTAAAACGACGTCGTTTCATCCTATTTGAAAACGACGTCGTTTCACTTAATGGCAAGATTTAACGGCAATTTAACGCTGTCTAAACTGCAAATTAACGGTGTGTTAAATTGGCCAGTCAATCAAAAGTTTCTTAATAAAATTAAAAAGTCAACAAAAGTATAGTATTATTTTGGCCAGGGTTGAATACAGGTTTCTTTTGGCAATTTGTGCAAAGTTCGTGTTTTTTTTGGCCGAATTCCCTATTTTGTTTTGTTAACTATTCCAAACTGTAAAAGTTATTTTGTTTTGTTAACTAAAAACAAATATTAGTGATGGTGTAGAAAAAGTTGATATGGTTAGTTTTCACGTGTTTCGTAAATTAATATTATTTCTTAAAACTCAAGAAAATTGAAGATTGTAAAAACAATTATGAGAAAGTATTTCAAATCAGCGAGTGCGGATAATGTAATCATTGCGGTCTTATAAGGTTTGCAACCAAATTTAAATTTGAAAGATTTGGAGTATCTTTCAACTATACGTCAATGGAAGAATAATTATCAACCCATGCTATCATGATTCTACAGTTCGGTAAGAGATTTTACCGTTTTATTTTGATTTACAATATTGTCTGTGCGATAGAGAAACTATCTTTATTACCTACTGATGGTTTCAAATTTATTTCACACGGCACAATCTACAGAGTTAGAGAAATCATTGAGGCAACAATGAAGTTTAATTTTCTTAACCTACCGCATTGAATCAATCAATTATATGTAGGCAATGAAAGTATAACTTGGCTGATAACTTTTACAATTATCACTAATATTTTTGTTTAAACTTTATATAATTGAGTTTTACAAAATTACAATGAATTTAATTACCAAAATTCATTAATCTTTGTATTTATTTATAATTAACTTTTAAATTATTTTGATAGACATATACTGCTAGATAAAAATTAATTTATAACAGATGAAGTATCTAAAAACAATATTAAACACTCTTCAATCATTGTAGTTTTTTGTCCATAAATGCCTAGCTTTGCTATCTGAAAAAGCATAGAGAATACTTTTCAAATTTCTTTTTTTAGTATTTCAATTTCTAACTTTCAAATTTATCTGAAATGATAATTATTTTTATAAATACCTTAAATTTATGATAAAATATAAAACTAATTCATCTAATTCATTTATAAATATTTTAAAATAATGTATAAAACATTTCTAGATTTTATAAAACTCAATCCCAACCCTATATACTAAATTATAGACAATAACTATTAAATCCAAATGTTAAAGTATTTTTTATTAAGTATAATTTTGAAAAGTGGTAGCCATTTAAGGTATTGTAAGTAACTTTTTTTTCTTTTTGTTTGTTAACAAAATGTAACAGTATTTCATATATGTGTATTATCAATATTTAATAGTAATATTGATCTTGTAATAACGAATCGCAAGGTGAAATCCAAATTAATGTACTGTATATAATTTGTTGAATGTCAGATATTCTTGTCGTTTAACCACAGTAATCAATCATGATTAAAACCGTTGCATGAGACCTCAATCATATGCTCTGTGGTTGGTTGTGGATCCTTTGACCAGGCTTATACAATCGCTATGAAAGAATTTCCTTTTGGATGTAAATGTTAAGATTTTCTTAAATAACACATGACAAAATTAATTCTATAGATTACTCAAAAAAGAAAGTTAATTGTATATAATATTTCTGAATTTTTAAACACTGAACTGGTTGGTTAATACTGAAGTTCGTAACTGTAATTGTATATTGTGTGTATATGTGAGTAAATCTGAAAGGAATGTTTAAACTGTACATCTATACGAATACGATGATATATGGGTTGTAGAGTATGATGATGCCTTCATTTCAATACTGGTATTTTAATAAACCACCATCGATCATACATGGTATTTTGTTAACAACAAACAGTTATCTTATTTATTTCAACTGTTGTAGCACAATATTTGATTTGACATATCACTCATGCCTCGGTAGAGACTAACGTCGCAATTTTGTTATGCCATGAATAATACGTTTTAAATTATGCACATTAAAAAATGAAATTATTAAACTAATATAGAAAGCTATAATTCTCTTTGCTGGCACAGAGATTTGATGCTATGTGTTTCTTTGTATAGTTGTAACTCTGTATCATCTGAAAAGTTTATCTATTAGTCTTTAATTATTTTGGATCACTTATATCAACTAGGTAACATATATAGTCCACGCAATTTGCTTTTGAGTTGTTGTTCCGTTCAAAGTCTTCCCTATAAATGATCTGTCTTCACAACTACTTTAAACCAACTACAAACGATCAATTTTTTTTAGAATTTCTTACAAAAGAACTAGAATAACTCGCATATTGAACCAATGTTTTTTATTTATTTTTATTTTTAATATAATTATATTCAAATCAAACAGGATAACCGGAATATAGTTTAGATTACAAGTTCGATTTGAACAAATCTCCCAAATTTTACAAATTGCTTTCAAAATATCTCATTTGAACCACTGATCAGGTTTACTAGATTACCAATTTTACCAGGATTTTGGTTGGTTTGCAAGTTTACTTTGAATATAGATTTCAGACCTATCCGAAACTGGCTCACTAACAAGTTCTGGCAGACTGGTTCAACCATTGCTTTTCTGGGATTTGATAGAAAGAACTATAGTATAAAACTGATTTCAATTGTTAAAATGTTAAAAGACGTACTCTTATG